AAGCTCCAGTAAGTTATGGTTCAGTACTAAAATGGTTTTCTCTTGGGCTGGGACTTACAGGATTTGGCTGATTATGCCTCTAAGAATTTAGAAGCCATGAATCCCCCACTTTTTCTCCGCTTTCTTAACCTGCTAATGAACGATGCCATCTTCCTTTTGGATGAAGCCATACAGGTAAAAAAAAAAAAAATTTTTTTACTGTTCCCATACCATCAGATCATGACCAATACATACTTTTTACCTTTCAGTCATGATGGAGCAGTCCTTATGCTTCTAGTACCAGTCTTAGACACCCAAAATTTGCTAGTAGTATACTGCCAACCTTGCCATTACAGAGTTTGATAGGTATTGTTCCATTAGAGACTAAGATCAAGGCTCATTGAAGCTCATGAGCTAGGATGATACCTTTGGCAGAGAGTGGAAAAGGAAGTGTGATGAGGCCAAACTAAGGTACACTGGCAGAACTAATTAGGCCAGCATTACAGAAGAAATCAGGATTTTTGCCTCTGGTCAGTGACTTCGAACATTTTTCCATTCCAACACATTAGTAACAGTAGCTCACTAAGACAATGATTCTTATCCCTCCCTCCTGAAAGATTTTGATTTTTAAACCACTGCTTAAAAAAAAAATCTCTGGTTTGGGTTATTTTTTTTCATAAGACCAAGTTGTCAATACTCTTCATCTACCACTGTCTCCCAAATCTTTAGCTATATTTGAAAGATGAGTTTCACAAAGTATACAGCTGGGTGCCTCTTAGCTCATTCAGTGTATTATATCTTAACAATCCCTATGGAGCTGCCTATTGCTCCTATAAAAAAGTCCCTTATCTGTGACAGGTATAAAATAGAGCTGTTACCCAAAGGGAGATGAAGTGGGTAAATCATGAGGGTAGCCTTTTGGACAGCCATGAGCTCCCCATATTGATTAGCAATCAGTAACTTGTATTTAATTTGTGAGAAAAGTTTCCTGCTTTTTTCAATATCTTAGACTTTAAGGTTTTAGATAGATTTTCTTAGAAAATAAGAACAAGTCTGTAATGTAATAAACAGACCCTTCTAAGCAAGAGCTGTGGGACACAAAGAATGACACAGATGGCATTTTCATGGGACTGTAAGTTTAACACGTTGTTTGCTACAGCAGCCAAGGTGAGGGTTTTAAATGTGGTTTTCTTCCAGACATTTTGTGTACATGATAAAGCTTTATTTTTTGATAAACAGTTTTTTGGGGTTTGGGGGGG